TTTTTTATTTTATTGAATGCTGTTTGAGTTTTTTAATGTCACTGCTATGGGGACACTGTTCACTTCCAGGTGATATCCAAAATTTGGGTAGAAATTACCATATATAACACACTCTGTCTGTAGAATATGGATGTATCCTGTAGTTTACATAATCTAGATCACTGATTAAAATTTTCTTCTCTAAATTTGGCACATAATTATGCATCACTTTAGTGACAAATTAACAAACAATAGATTTAGAAGACATCAGTTAGAAACTACACCAGCATGCACAAGAACTGTAAAAGTTCAAATAACAAGTTATTTGCAATTAATACCTGCTTGAGAGGGGGAAAATGGAGTGATACTGGGTATATTAATTACACTCCTAGACAATCTGATGCTTAACGGTAGTTGTCCAACACAGAACTGACTCCGTGTTTTCATCCTGTGTTTCTCCTCTTTTTTTTTTTTGGTCTCTCTCTCCCTCTCCTTCTCAGTCTCTCTCTATTTTACTTTGAACTTCAACTTTTTTAAGAGAGAGAAAGAGAATGGAATGGGGAGCAGAGAGGGTGTGTAAGGGAGGAGTTGAGGAAGGGGAAAATATGACCTAAATATGTATGAAAATTTTTAAAAGGTTTCATAATATAAATATTGGAAAATGCATTATAATATATAATTGAAAACAGATGATATCTTTATAATCAATAGCTGTGTTCATTCATTGAATATTCATAATAATTTCCTAGATTTTGGTGTTGTGACACACACCTTCAATTCCAGTACTCAAGAGGCAGAGGTAGGTGGATCTCTGAGTTTAAGGCCAGCCTGATCTACATAGGGAGTTTCAGGCTAGCCAGGACTACACAGTAAGATGCTCTGTCAAAACAAAGCAAGCTGATTTTCATGTCAGAAACAAAAATCAAAACAAACCGTTGCAGAAGGCTAACTATGGAACTAAGTCTTATTGAAAGGGAAGTCATCAGTTACAATTGCAAAAATTTGCTATTTTGCTTCTTTGGGTTTGGAGTTTTTTTAGGGAACAGTCACTACATACTTGGCAAGTTTTATTCACTCACAGTGGTCTCCTTCAGGAGCACCTGTGTAATTCCAAGTACTTATCAGCATTATCAGATTAATTCGAAGACAGCCACTGCTAATCAGTGTTTTAGTGCTGATTGTTTTCGGGGATCTAGTGCCTGCAGTGGTAGAGTACTTGCCACTTAGTGGCACTAATTAATGCTTTTTTTCAAAGGGGTAGCTAAAGATCAAGGTCTCTACCCCCAAAGTTCAGGGAGCATCATAGAAAAGAGGACCTAAAGAATGTAAGAGCCAGAGGACCAGGGTGCCTGTTGAAAGATCATGTCTGAGCTTCAGCCATGAACTTAAATGATATGATTGCCTGAATAACATGTAAACAATGATACCACTAGTTGGACTGCCAGGTTGAATGGAATCTGTCACCCAAAACCTTACTGGTAGGGAATAGCTCCAGGCAGTTAATGACTGCTGAGGAGGGAGAATGTCTTTCCTAAAGAGGAGCCCACCTAAATATATCCAGTACCACATGATCAGCCTTACATAATTCATACTAGCAATACTAACCAAACAGACTTAGTAAGTTCTCTGTATTAGTTTATATCTCTATAAAACAGTAATACTAAAAAGAAACCCATGACTTTGAGAGGGAGTTGAGGATATGTGGGAGGGAATTGGAAGGAAGAAGGGGAGTAAGGAAATCTGTAAATACATTACTCATATATGAAATCTTTAAAAAGTAAAAAAGTAAAGAATTCTTAAATGTTTAAATGTACTGGATCATTCTTCACTGTGGTCATTCCACATCTTCTTGGTTGGACTGTTGACAACTTACCTTCTTTCTTCCTTTAAACGGAATAGTAACTCACATCTGAGGAGAAAGCATGAGATCCCATTTCTGTCCTGCTTGACTGACAGATCATTTTCTTTGTGCTGTCTGAATCATGCTGTGTCTTTAGTTCACTTATTCTTAAAGGTACTTTTCCTAATTTACATTGATTTGCTTTTTCTCTTGTTAGTAGTTTAATTTTTCTAAATATTTGTTTCCTCATTTGAAGAGTAGTTAAAGACACATAATTAAAGAAACTGGCTTCTGTAGGGGTGAAAGTTTTTTGTGTAGGTGGTGGTGATGCATGCACTCGGTAGGCAAAAGCAGGTGAATCTCTGTGAGTTTGTGAGTTCAAGGACAGCCAGTGTGAGCTACATAGAGAAACCCTGTCAGGAAAAACAAAAACAAGCAAACCAAAAAGGGTTTTTGTCTACAATATTGCAATTAACTTTTTATCGTTTGGTGGCATTTATTAACAGGTTTTTGCAGTTCAGATCTGCCCACTACTACCCTGTATATCTGATATATAAGACAAAATTTGCTCACTAATTTTTATTTATTTATGCTAAATAAATTAAGAATCTCTACCAGCAAGTCCTTAGTATTTCATATTATTTTCCCCAAAGTTCATGATCAGTTAGTTCTATCATTCATATTTATGCTCACTAAAAAAAAATTTATTTTGGCTCAGCTTCTCTTGCCCTTTGTAGTCTCTTTAACTTCAGATAGATCAATTCTTGTAGCTGTGATTTTAGTTATTTTAAGTCTTTAGTTTTAATTATAATAAAACCATTTCTTGTACCCAAGAGCTTTGTTAATCTTACCATCATTGGTTTAAAGATTTGTCTGTTCACACCCCATTGTGTTTCTGTGAATGCTAAGCAGTTAGTAGACACTGCATGAGTATTGCTTTTTATCACTTTATTGGTCAAATACTATTCCATAGAAGAGACAGTAGATTACCTTGTGGCCTTTGTGTGCCTCCGTCATTAGAGATTTCATCAATTTGCAGTGTTACACCTTAATTAAACTATATGTATAAATAAGTTTAAATGATTGCAGATTTTAGAGATACTCAAATTTCTTTGCCCCAGGCTCCTTTCCTTTGTGCCAATCAAGGCACAGGGTCAATTCAAGGCACTCATCACACCTAATAACTATGCTTCATTGCATAAGGGGCACAGAAGCCTACCACTACCTTAGAAGCCTACTTTACTCGATGGGATGGCGGTCTAGCCAGAGATTGGAAGTCACTAGTTCATACTTCTTTTTCCTATCCAGAATTATTGATGGCTTCCAGGCCATGAGAACACTTGTTTTTGTTTGTTTGTTTTACAAATTAATTTGGGATTCAGAATACATTTGAAATCTGTTCATTTTGTTCACAAGCTGAGACAGATCTCTGTAATGTGCTTATCTTTGAACATTACTGAGAAATTCATAAAAACATAATATGAGTGTATGTGTAGAACTTATTGGAATTGAAAACACTTATTATGTAACGCACTGAGTCCATTTAGTGCTGCATATATGGGCCTAGATTTATCCACTGGGGCATGGGAAATCAACCCATGGCTACTAGTCAAGGTTCTCTAGAGTAACAGAATTTACAGAATCTCTCTCTTCTCTCTCTTTCTCCCTTTTTCTCTCCCTCTTTCCCTCCCTCCCCCCTCTCTCTTTGTGTATATATGTGTATACAGATACATATCTTCCCATCTCAAAAGGTCTGTAATAAATTTGTGTGGTTTTTTGCTTATTTGAATAAAAAGTCCTTCACTGGTGTGCCCTCTTTTTTTGAGTTTCAATTAATTCCAGGTGTAGTTAAGTTGACCACCAAGAGTAGCCATCAAACTTCTCCCCAAGCAGTCATTAACTGCCAAAGTTCCTCAGGTATGCTTGGGTGCCTCAGGAGTTCCTCCGGACTCCTTGTTGGAATTTTAAACAAAGTTGATCTCTACAAGGCCTTGTGTAGGTCACCACAGCTTCTCTTGAGTTCATGTGCCCAGCAGGCATCTTGGCACTTGTAAAAATAAGTTTGCCCCACAGTGGAGACTGAAATACCTATGCCATGGAAATACCCAGTCCTTATATAACATTTTTTTTAAGGTAGATATTATTATTTTGTCCTTTCTCAACATACATGGAATCCGGCTACTGATGACCTTGTGTTTTTGAGGTTTCAGTAGCTTTCTTCTTTAGAGTATCTTTCTTCAGAGATTGTATCTGGGATTTTGGTTTTGATACTGAATTTTGCATCTTAAGTAAATTTTATTGTAGTATTTGGAATGGAAGGGTAATTTCATGAAGCAGATCTCAGTAGCCTCAACTGTTGACAAATGACTCTTATCGTTTAATTTGGTGCAAGATGCTGGGAGTGTTGGTCTAATTTCTTTAGTCAACTTCAGTTAATGGTTTGGGACAATTAATTTCCAATTGTTTCCCAGTAGAGCAGATTTACTTGTATATTAATGAGGCGCAGGTGTGGGCCCCTGGTGCCTGCATGCCTATGAGGCATATTTCAATTGTTTATCTACTCAGCCGCAGGTACTACAAGGTATTCAAGCTTGCCTTTAACAGTTTTTATGTTGTCTTTAATTTCTCTGCACCTGTTAACATTTTCACACTGATGGTGTAATGAGCTGCTGTGGAGATTTCAGTAGGAAACATGCACTGTTGAAAAGGGGTTGTTCTGTTGTATTTAGCTGTCCAGCCTAGCAAGAAACAAATCAGAGTTACTCAAAGAGTTCATTCATGTGAGAAGTCAGTACAACCAACAGGCCATTTCTTTGTTATGTAATTTTGGAAACAGTTGTACTTTTGTTAATATATAAATAAGTCATATATTTTTATAAAGAGTCATTTTTCTTATTTATTCACTGAACTATACTACCAGTGTTTTCGAGGAAATGGAATAGCCTCCATAGACATTACAAATTTCAGAAGCTAGGATAATTATAGCGATCTACATATTCATTAAATCTACAGAAGAACTGTGTCCAAGAAGACAGCCATTCGTTCAGACACAGAACACCACTAAATATATGCATTTTAGAAGTTAAATTTCTTAGGCTATTTAAAATTAGTTTCATGTAGCACTCCTCTTGTAGAAGGATTTTAACAGAAGGACACCACTGATCTGGTTTCTTTCCTACAGGAAAGAATGGGAAGAACTATTTGTAAACAACAATTACTTGGCAACAATAAGACAGAAGGGGATTAATGGGCAGCTGAGAAGCAGCAGGTTCCGTAGCATCTGCTGGAAGGTAAGAAGGAAATATTTATTTACAGTTGGTGGTGGAAGTGTATCAGCACATTACCTATGCCCTGGAAGATTACCACACAGGGATCACTGAATCTTCCAGGTGATTTTACTCCTTTTTTTTTTTTTTCTTTTTAGACCATTCATGTTTACCTTGTATAGGACATTTACTAATAAGGTTGAGCCACTTGGGCAAGCAGAGCTAGTAAATGAATCCTTCGAAGTAACTCTTTTTACTTCTTTTAATGGTGAACTTTTCAGAGAAGTACTGTTAAATTACATGGAGGAGGCTTTTTTTTAAAAATATTTATTTATTTATTTATTTATTATGTATACAATATTCTTTCTGTGTGTATGCCTGAAGGCCAGAAGAGTGCACCAGACCTCATTACAGATGATTGTGAGCCACCCAGCTTTTTTAGATTTTCTTGAAGTTGGGCCTGAGAAATGAAGTGGGTAAACTTGAAGTCCCTATTATCTGAGCTGCTATCATTAGTCATCCTCCTTTTGTCTCACTAAAGAGCACATGGAAAAGACTTGACATTCTTTTCTTAGAAACGTAAATGGAGGGCAAGCAGGAGAGCAGAAGGAAACTGGGTCATTCTCCTTCAGAGAGAAGGGGCATTGGTGACCAAAGTGGTAATGTAATCTGTAGTCATCTTTTTAATTGCTTTGAAAACTTAACCCTTTTTGTTCTCTAAAATGAATGAATTTGAGTGTAGACTTACTTTTTAAATGACCTCTATCAGTATTTTTAGTACTATCTGCATAAATTGAGCATGTAAAGTCTGTGCAAATCAAAATAATAAGAAATACATGATGTATTATATGGTTCTAGATTTAATAATTTAGATTTAATAATGAAAATGTGTTTTTCTTTCTTAAGAGGCAGACAAGAGACCTGCTGCTAGAAAATTGGTATTCAAATATTTGTGCCCCACCCTCACTTCCTCTTGTTTAAGTATATTACATTTACTAAAAATAGACCTAAGTCTGGATTCATTTTATTAATGTATTAAATTAAATCAAATCTGTCATTTTAAGAATGTTACTTTGATAAACTGACTGCTAGTTGTAAATTACATTCTGTGCTGTTAAAGGAGCAGCCTCACTTCATGCCCTCAACCCTCAAATCCCTCCATGTCCTGCAGACCTAATGATTGCTTACAGGTGTTACCTGCACTAGCTTCCTATCAGTTCCAGGACAATTAGAAATGAACCTCTGTCTGTGTTCCTCCCTTTTTAGAATAAATCTTGAAGAAAGCTTAAATCTATTTTGTGATTTAAATTTTTAATTCTTTTTTAACCATTGATTATTTAGTTTTTGACTATTCTAACTATTTTTAATATATCCATGAGCATATTATTGGGAATTGAAATGGTTATATTGAATGGAACATGTCACAAATGGGGTGTTTCTTTATATTTTCAAGCAATTTTATTTAACCTGATTTTCATACTTAGTAGATTTTACTTTTTATAAAGTTATCTCTTTTTCTCTCCCCCAATAGCTCTTTCTTTGTGTTCTTCCTCAAGACAAAAGTCAATGGATAAGTAGAATTAAAGAACTAAGAGCATGGTATAGCAGTATTAAAGAAATAGTAAGTAAAGAGTAAATGTAACTAATGCAGTTATTTTCATATGCTTAATTTAAAGTTCACCAGCCTCTGATCTATGATATGTCTCTTTCTTTACCAGCATATCACTAATCCAAGGAAAGCTGTTGGCCAGCAGGATCTGATGATCAACAATCCCCTTTCACAAGATGAAGGAGTAACGTTCCTTTTTATTATGTTTATTTTTTTCAATTATTTCATTATTTTATTTGTATGAATGTTTTGCCTACATGTATGTCTGTGTAACATTTGTGTGTCTGGTGCCTTTGAAAGCCAAAGGAGTCAAGTAGATCTCCTGAGATGGCAGTTATGTGTGGTTTTGAGCCACCATATGGTTGCTGACAACCAAACCAAGTCCTCTGCAAGAGCAACCAGTGCTCTAAACTACTGAGCCCTTTTCTATTCTTGTTCCAACCTTTTCATTCTGAAAATCATGCTTTAATGATTTATGTCATTTGCGTAGGGTAAGGGTATCTTATCTGAAAATCCTTATGCAAACAATGTATTTCATGCCCTGTTTTCATTATTCTAAATGCTGAACTACCTAGATCCTGATGTGTGTGTGTGTGTGTGTGTGTGTGTGTGACATGTATATATGCACACCTGTAGAGGCCAGAGGTGGACATGGTATCCAGCTCTGCCATTGTTTGCCTTGTTCCCTTGAGACCAGGTCTCACTAAAACTCCTGCTTGCTTTCGGCTAGACTAGTTAACTGGGAACCATCTGTCTCTGCTCCCCACTGCTGGGGTTAGAGCCACAGAAAGCCACACTCAGCTTTGTATGTGGATGCTGAGAATTCAAGCCCAGGGTCTCATGCTTGCATCTTATCTGCTGAGGCATCTACTCAGCACCTGTGGGCCCAGCTCTTAGAGGTTCTGCACCTCCCAATAGTGCTAAGACGCTAAGCTGTCAACACAGCGGCTGTAGGAACTGTTAGATCTACCCCATAGCAATTTCTCTGGACTATCCACTGTACTGTAAATTATTTCTTGCTTTTTAAATGTAGGAATGCTCTATTTTGAGAAGTAAATGGCAATTTTAGGTTGGCTGTTGTCTTCCAAAATATGTTTCATTATTGTTATAAATTTATATACTTGATTTTGACTTTAACCATATTGTCATTAATACAAGCTGTGTTTCAGTGTAAAAACGGCTACCTGTTTTCTTGGACTCTGTTTTCCTTGGTGGAAAATTTGCCAGAATTTGGCTAATTTAATTAAAAACATCAATCCATTAGAACATAGGGAAATAAATGGATTGTCTATTTGTCCCTGGCTAACTTTCAGTATGAATAATTAACTGCTAATTATAGGCTTGTGTCCACAGTCTAAGAATTTTTCATGTTCAAAATTAAATTTTCAGGTACTTGTTTCCAGGCCTGATCACATGGGTTCAGTCCCTGAGACATGTAGGGGCTGGTGTGTTGGTGCGTGTGTGCATGCATGAGTGTGTGTTATAAGTGCAAGGGGTCTCGTAAGAGCTAACTCTAAAGTGATGAGGAAGGAGGCATCAGTTTTTTAGTGGAATAAAAAAAAGACTAAGGAACACCTTAGAAGTCCACACTTGGCAGGACTATCCCTGGAAGAAAGCAACTACCTGTAGTGACTGTGGAGAAGCTCATATCCTGGTGGAGTGTAGCAGTTACTACTTGACAGAGACTATATAACTTTCTCACTTGTTGCTGCTCTGCACCTGTGTATGTAGCTGAGGAAAAAATTTCCTCATTTTATAGATATCTTAGTAATTTTCTGATGTAAACTTTGCTATATCATCATAAGCTATTACATAATTTTTAGATGGTTGGACTTGTTCCTTTGTTTTGTTGAGAGAAGGCCCTACTACTTGGATTTGACTAGACTGGAACTTGATAGGCTGTCCCTCAAACTCACAGAGCACTGCCTGCCTCTGCCTCCAAAGTTGAAGGGATTAAAGTTGTGTGCCACCTTAGCCCATCATTAAGAAATTTTTAGACCTTCCCCAAGTTTACATTTTGAAAATGTAAATGCCTCTTGTGGAAGAAAAGAGCAGTGGAAGTGCCCTTCATCCTACAGAGATGATAGAACCTTCAAAAATGTATACAGTAAGGAAAATTGAAAAAAAAATGTAAGCTTTTGAATTAGAGCAAATTTTAATAGAAATTATTTCTGCCAGGTTTCCGATCTCAGAAATCCAAAGTGACAGCTTAGAGAATAATAAATTCAATCACTTAAATTATTAAATTGAAGTCATAAAAGTCACACAGTGTGAGATTGTTCTAATTAGGTTATTCTCATTTTCCAGAGCCTTTGGAACAAGTTCTTCCAGGATAAAGAATTGCGGTCTATGATTGAGCAGGACGTCAAAAGAACGTAGGTAGAGCTGTGTTTGTCCACTGATTCAAAACGGTGTTACTTCTCTACAGTTTACCACAGTGTGAGATCCATAAAGAACCCTAAATTGTCTTAATTGTTTTCTACTTACTTAATGCAAAGTTGTTTTTCTAAATAAATTTTGATTCCACAAATTTTTTTCTTAAAGATTTCAAAATGTTCAAAATAAAGTGAATATCGACCAAAGAATGCTAGCTTTATCAATTTCTGATAGTTCACACTATTCTAAAAGGATTGTATTGTGTGATTATTTATAGTGATAATATTTGGACAGCTTATATATATATATATATATATATATATATATATATATATATATGAATTGCCTTCTAGCCAAATTACTCTGTATCCTTCTCCTTCCAGTTTACTGTGGTTATTCTTCTTGCTTTCCTCTGGGTGCTGTTCAGGTGTGTGAATAACCTGTTCTGGTAGTCTATCCAACACTCACATGAAAAACACCTCTTTTGGCACAGTAAATGTTCTATCACTGTTACAAACCAGCTTCATCTCTCTGCACTATCTCTTGGGAAATACTCTCAGTATCCTCTCTCTCTCCTTGTACTTTTCTGTGAATGGGGATAATAGTAATTACCTCCCAAAGTTTGTATGGATTCCCTTAAGGTTTATTGTCCTTTTGCCAGAAGTTCTTGCGAGCAGATTATGTCGTATTTTGACTGTCTATTTAGAACTTGCCAGTTAGTAATCCTTAGTCTAAACATTCCAAATCCTAAATGTTTGAGAATTCAAAACTTTTTGAATATTGATTCAAAACCCTCAAAATTTTTGATTTTGGATTTTTAATTAGGGACGCTCAACATGCATGCAAAATAGAGTAGTGTTTTAGCTAGTAAAGTTAATCACTGGAGCTGCAAACCTGCAAGAGAGTGCATCACAAATACTTAACCTTCTGCAACTTTTCCAGTGTCTTCCCTTGTAATTCTGTCTCTGACAATGTCAGGCCTCTAGCTTTCTAACACTCAAATCGTGCTTTTTTATCCCAGAACAACAGAGAATCAGATGACTTGAACTACCACCAAATTACCTACACTATTCAATACGTAGAATAAATACTTAAAAACAACAGTATTCAAAAGAATCAGGAGTTGAGATCAGCTATACTGCAATTAGTGTGTGAAGTGAAAATCATTTTAGTTATCTTGCCTCTCCCAGTTAGTTCAGGAGCCACCCACTTTTAAAAACAAGCTCTTAGGGGTTAGTTCTTAGTCTCCTTTGCACCGATTTTCGGGAGCTAAAGCACCTTTGTATTGGCACATATGAGGCACATGGAGAACAAAGGGATTTCCTTATTGATCATACAACTTTGTTAATCATTGTCTGAAAAACAGACCTTATGGTAATAAAACAGTATTGCATGTTACTAGCCAAAATAGTAACAGTGTCTGATTTTAAAAGTGTCAGAGCTATTCTATCTCAGAGGAGGAATTTTAATTCAACTTTCTGTAAATCGTAAATGGAAGTGGGTGGATAATGGCACTGGCCTAAAATCACACATTCAGAAACCATAGTGTTTCAGAGTGATCAAAAAATATAAAATAAGAGAGGAGTATGAATTCCTATAAGCACCACACGTAAGAAGAGCTTATTCATCATTTTGCTTATAGCTCAAATATTTCTTCCTGGCTGTGTAAGAAACTGTTAGATCTTGAAAACACACACACAAAAGCTGTTCTGGTTTTTATTTGTTTGTTTTCTGTTTTTCTTTTTCCCAAAGAATGTAAGATATGTACATCAATACATTTAGAGTTAATTTTTTTCCTGTTCTTTTTTTCTTTCCTTTTCTTCTAGAATATTTGAAGGTAAGTACAAGATTCAGGGTAGGTATATGGGAGAGTCTAAAGTGTAGCTGTTTAGAGTATTATAGAATTTAAAGTGTAGCTGGAAGTCTGGGTGATTCCTTGCTAGCTTTCCTTGAAGTCTCTTTATACAAGAGAGGAAGTTACCATACCTTCTCTATTCAAGATTTCACACTCCTTTAATCCTAGTACTACAGAGGCTGAGACAGCGCGACGTCTGGGAAATCCAGGCCAGCCTGGTTTATGTAGCAAAACCCTATCTCAAAGAAAACAAAACAAAAACTGAAGAACAAGAAAAAAATGCAGAATACGTACTATTGAAGATAGAGTAACTAGTTTTACCAGATTGCAAAATCATCAAAGTCTAATAGCTTGAATATTATTACCACATTGCATCTGTTGGTGGTGATGGTTGGTTGCTTTTAAAACAGGGTCACATTTAGCCCTAGTTGTCCTTGCATTCCCTACAAAGCCAAAATGGCCTTGAACTCATGATCTTCTTGCCTTTACCTCCCAAGTGCTAGGATTAAAAGCATGAATCACCATCCCTATCTTCTAGTGATCTAAATCCATCATTATCAGTTGAATCTATAAAACTACTAGTAATACAATGGAAGGGGGAAAAGTGCAGTTCAGAGAATTTATACTTTCTTAAGTTGTTACTTAAGAATTTTGGGTTTTTAAAACATACTGGGTTGCAGGACACTGGAGAATAAAGGAAGTCTGATCACAGGATTTATTTTTACTGTGGAGAGTTATTAATGATGGTAACAGGTCTGGAGGAGCAAAGTGGAATAGTGGGTAGGTACTAGGACTAAGTAATTTAAAGAAGGGAATATAAAAAAACGGGAACATTGCTCGGATTGGTTTCCATTTTTAATGAGCAGCTGTTGGAAGATAATTTGAGTCTTCAGAGGAAAAGGATACTAGTGAGTCCCTGCCACTCACCATATCCATGACATATTTTATGGACTTTCCGCTTTGGATTTTGAAGTTTGCATTTTGTTCAGTTTTCCTGTAACTTTTACATGTTATTTAACTTAGGTCTTATATTTATTTAAGTCTATCTCATGTGCATTTAAACATTTTTATTAATTTCCAGGGTTTTCAGGCATAGTAGATGCCAAAATAAGTATGACATGTACCCAGTAAGAAATTCAAATCTAATAGGGAAAGCATAAAAAAGAGATTATAATGAGATCAGTTAGTGCCATAGGAGAAGCCATGTGTCCAAGACCTCTGGTGTTAAGTCTATGTCTACTTCTGATCTTATGGATAGACCCTGATATTGTTTTATTGTTGTTGTTGTTGTTTTGATTTAGGCTGGCTTTTTTTGTTTTGTTTTGTTTCTTTGTTTTCTTTTGGTCTCAAGATACATTGTCAGAGTGATGCACAATAACAGCCAATGATGGAAATAGTCAGTGATGATCAGTGTTTCTTCGATTTCACTCGGCTTTTTAGCATTTTTTCAATCTTTCTTTTTTTTTTTTTTTTTTTTTTTTTAATATTTATTTATTTATTTTATTATGTATACAATATTCTGTCTGTGTGTATGCCTGCCGGCCAGAAGAGGGCACCAGACCCCATACAGATGGTTGTGAGCCACCATGTGGTTGCTGGGAATTGAACTCAGGACCTTTGGAAGAGCAGGCAGTGCTCTTAACCTCTGAGCCATCTCTCCAGCCCCCGCATTTTTTCAATCTTACAAGACATATGCACCTCTAAGAAAAATACTCCTAAGATCAAACTTCTAGTTTGACCTTAATTAAGGTATTTTACTGTTGGATTGTTTTCATCTGGCTATTCACTGTATTAAATATTTTCTCTTACATTATTTTAACATCTTTAATAAGCCACTACTCAATTTTTACTGCAGGACGTTTACATTCATTTCAGATTATTTGTTCCTTATCTCAGGCTAATGAAGTGTTGAAATAGGTGCAGCGGGGCTGTGTCCCCGACACCCGGCTGTCCGCATGGCTAGCTTTATCCGAAATAATTACATGGAAACTGTATTCATTTAAACACTGCCTGGCCCATTAGTTCCAGCCTCTTATTGGCTAGCTCTTACATATTGATCTGACCCATTTCTAATAATCTGTGTAGCCCACGAGGTGGCTTACCAGGGAAGATCTTAACCTGCGTCTGTCTGGAGTGGGAGAATCATGGTGACTGCCTGACTCAGCTTCTTTCTCCCAGCATTCTGTTCTGTTTACTCCGCCTACCTAATTTTCTGTCCTATTAAAGGGCCAAGGCAGTTTCTTTATTTAACCAATGAAACAACAGATAGAAAGATGACACTCCTCCATCAATGAAGTTGTAACTATCCTAATTTTTATTACAGAAACAAAACTTTGTACAAGGTAAATGAAGGAATCCAGTCTCTAGAATTTCTAATTTAGAGTTTGGATTGTTCTTGGGGGAAAAAATTGCCATGTTTTAATTCAAAAGTTCCAATGTTAGCAATTTAAAATTTTTAACATTATTTAAAATAACTGAGTTCAGGATGCAATAGCATGTTCATACTAGATGCCAAGGAAATATGTTATTTGGTCTATCAAGGTCTATTCTAAAAATACACAACATCTATAGTACCATTTGTAGATTAACATACTATGAGCTTTGCCAAATAGTCTTATCTTTTCTTTAGATATATTCTGTCTCCTAAAGTAAATGATTAAAATTCTTTGAGTTAGTATTTTTTTTAACTTTGGCCATACTTAAAAGTATACCTGTTTGCCTCTAGGATTTGCTCATCATCATCTTTAACTTTTGATCGTTTTTATTCTCAGTCATTGTTAACATCTTAGATAGTTCTTTTTCTTCTGTGAGTCTACAAGATAGAATATTTTTATTTTATAGCTTGCTTTTATTTATAATTTATATAAATTATATAATATTTATATAAATTATAGGCCAAACAACGTTGTATCCTCATTTTTAAAAAAATATCTTTTGTCATTAATAGCAATATTCTCTTTTAACCTGAAGATATGTATTAGTCACTTTGTTAGAAACCACATTATCAGCAACTAAGGTAATTTTGAATAAAATTTTAAAATTAAGTCTCATTTACATTAATCACATTTAAATCTTAAGAGCTATTGGACAGACCTATGTAGAGTGTTTCAAACTTTGCAGAAGGCTGTTGATTGCCTTGGTGGG